TAGCCATATTCAAATACATGCTTAATTAGGTTATGTGCCAAATAAAGATTTCAATTAAATGGAGATGCTTTGCCCTCTATATAAGTGAATTAGGAAATTTATCAGATGCTAGAAATATAGCAAAGACAAATCCTTACTAATCTTTTCCTAGTGTATGGGAAAAGATGGACTCATAGTCAGCTGGGCATTTTGATATTTACACTCACCAATCACTGTTGGCTCCAAATCCACAAACACAGCCCTGGGAACGTGTTTGCCAGCTCCAGTCTCACTGAAGAAGGTGTTGAAGGAATCATCTCCTCCCCCAATGGTCTTATCGCTGGGCATCTGCCCATCTGGTTGGATGCCATGTTCTAGGCAGTAGAGCTCCCAGCAGGCATTGCCAATCTGGACACCGGCTTGGCCAACGTGGATAGAGATGCACTCACGCTAAATGTGGGGGAGAAAATGTATAAATTGGTTTATATATTGGTATATTCTGTGTAAAAGAAGAGAAGGTTAATTTGTAATGAGTTGTGCAGTCTTTCATTGTTATTGGTGGGATATGGGAATAAGAATTTACACACCCACACTGTGTGCACTGGTCACTCAGATAAAAACTTTTACTAGTAAAATTAAAAACAGTTACCACAGCTGTTAGTTCCTGCTTCAAATGGGAACTAGGGAGGCAAAAAGGGAAAATCCCCAAATCTCTCAATTTAAGAATGAAATAAAATAAAAATAAACCATGTAATTTGTCTGGTTCTAATGCACCTTTGAGGAAGTGCTGAAATGTCACTCCCACCCTTTCTTCTTTATTTTCTTAGCCTGAGTTATTCTCTTTTATTTTACTTGCCTTTTGTTCTAGAGGTCATTCTATCATGTGAGAGGACCGGGTTCAAGCAGAGACTGCCAAGGAATGCCACGCCCTAGCCAAGAACACTGGGTAGATGCTCTTCAACATAAAGCTAGCCATGATTTTTCTGACAACGCCCACACTGACAGCCGGTGGGTGTGTGCAGTGTCCTGGATTAAAACAGCTGGAGTCATTTCTGCATGATCTCATTAAACTGTTTTTTCCTTCCTCTGACCTCAGCTCTGCTGAGAACCATGATTGGAAATGAGAACTAAATCGATGGGATGGCTGAACCAGAAGATAAACCCTAAGGTAGGTATGTGGTATAATAAGAGTAAAACTCTGCATTCACCAGTCTTACCCTCCCCCACAACATAAAAGAGTTTTACAGAACTGGAAATCTTCCTAATACATTAGGAATGTTGCATCCAGTATTAAAAATGGGCTGCTAGAAAACGTTTCTAAAAGAAAGTTCAGCCATTGGAGTGCGCTTGTCGAAAACAGACAAGCCTCTGTAGCAAGACTCTGAAAAGCATTGTCTCCCATTCATTATTCTGGTCACATCTGCCAGAGGAGACTCTTTGTCTGCTCCATCAGCCAGCACCTTCTGCCTTCTATTCATTGACAGACCAATCGGCTGCAGGGCACTGCTGCTCTAAGGGGAGGGGTCTACTTTTCCTGCCCTGCAGTCTGGGGATACTGGGCAGTGTGTCTCTTCCGACGGCCACAGATGGAACAATGCTCCGTTTTAAGGCAAGGTGTTTTTTTTTTAGAGCCTCGAAAGGGCGTGGCATCTTTAGCCCAGATGATGATCCCCGCTTTTCTCAGAGGAAATAGCGGCACTGGGACTTCCTCGAGTGGCCAGAATTTCCTCCCGTGCAATCCCTTTGAATTCAATGACATTTTAACTCCACACAAAGGCGGGTCAAGCTGCAGTCCACCGACCCTCCCATTGAGACGTCGGGCTTTCTCAGAGAGAGCTCCAACCTCTTCCTCCTCCTCCACGAAAAGTTCCCATCACCCAATTTGGTAACGCCTTTCCTCTCGACTGATGGACGAGGCGATGCGGTAATCGGCCACAGCATTTTGAATTACGTTCCCTGCAGGCTCCAATCGTTTCAAGTAGAGTTTTTTTGTTTTAAAAAATGCTAGAACACGATTCAAAGGGAAATCTAATCGTATGATGTATTTTAAAGCAAACACGGGCAAAGACACCCTGACCTGGAACCACCCAACGAGATTTCTTTCCCTAAAAGGAAGAACAGCCTTAAGGGCAAACTGCTCCTCATCTGCTCCCGGTCAGCCCTCGCCTCTGATCCGAAGTGGGGCTCCCCCTCTGCAGCATAAAAGGCTATGGGGGGGGGGGAGACGAAATTAGCGATCGCCAGGCGGGCAAAGAAGCCACGCGTGTCTTTCACTCCCTTTCTAGATTGAAGCCATTGGACCAGCAGGTGGGCTCCTGCCGCCTTTTAGGGGAGAAGAAGACCATCTTTGGGGCGTTGGAAATGGAGGAGGAATGCTTTTCCCCCCGACATTTGCACGGCTCTCCCGAGACTCTTAGGTTATGCACGATTGAAGTGATCGGGAAAACAAAGACCCGCCATAGAGGACAAGAGAAAAGACCCAGCAGGGAGAAAGGGGGAACAAGGGAGATCTGTCTAAATGCGCACAGGAGAGGTTGTCGACACACGTCTCGCGGCGATTTTCCCGGCTTCCTCTCTTTGGAGACCCGCGCCGGCACTTACCATAGTTGCTGCTTTGTCGCCGAGCTTTCGGAGAACTCGAACCGGAGAGAGGGGGGTGCGTTCTTACAGCGCGACTCTTAGGAGGTCGATGTAAGAGAACCTGTAGCACATAGTCTAAGGCAGCTGCCTATATACAATCCCGTCACCATGGGGACGGCCAAGGCTTTTTGCGGTTGGTCGAGACCCCCCAATCTGCCAGGAAAAGACAGGAGAGGAGAACGGCGATTGGCTCCGGGCGCATAGGATGAGGTAATTCCCCCCTCCTCTGCTCAGCATCCCAAGTCTGTTTGCATTGCATCTTCCAGACAAAGAGACCGAACAGTTCTCCATTCATCATTTGTGCGCGTGGGGTGGGGATATGTGTGTGTGTTGGGGGGGGGGGGAGAGCTAAGATCCATGGAAAAAGAGAGGGGAAAGGGACGCTGCACAACGTGAACACTCGCTTTAAAACCAATAACCTTTTCCCTTTGAACAAATGTCAGACAATACATCAACCCCTCCCTTCCCCCTCTGAACAAAGTAACGGCGCAACTCAAAATGCGCATTTCAGCAAAAGGCAAGGCGAGGCTGTGAGATTAAGGAATTTTGCTTCGCTGGTGAGTGATTGTGATAAGCCTGCAACGTTTACCGGGGGAAATTGTAAAAAAAAAAAATGCTGTCAGTCGCCAGCAAAGAACAACCACTGAAACCAGGATTCCTTTATTTCCTCGTGGCTTTCATGAGCACGAAAATCTACCGATCTGCAAAATCTCCCGTTCAGGGTGGAGAAAAAAAAATTACTGCAGAGGACTTTCGTTTTGCATTTGGCTATAAACTATTGACTTTATATTACAACACACGCCCCTCTTCTCTAATACTGCCGGTCTGCGATTAAGCATTTCCTCCAGAGAACTGGGGAGAGGGGCTCCGGGCGTGCATTTTCTTCTCCAAAGAGGTGTGAATGTCTCTGCCCGCTTCCCATCAAGAGAGAGGGAGCATCTTAGAGCAAGGGCCAATGTTGCTAGGCCAGCACAATGGGCAACTTCCGGAGCCTTTGCTTCTCTGCTCCCAGCAGCTCCTGGGGAGGGGGGAACGTCCATCCGAAGCCTGCTTCCCGGAGCCCCCCCCCCCTTTTTTTTTTTTGCATAGCTGAATTCTGGGTTGGATGTTGAAAAACGGATAGACGTTGCTCTCTTTTTAAAGGGGTTTCTGTGAGCAGGACATCTGTCCTCAAAAGGGCGAGTGTGGGGTAAACACGGCTGCTCTGGGGCAGGGGAAGCCAAACAAGGCTTCGTTTCCCGCTGCACACCCTCACCCGGCTCTTTCCGCGCTTTTTCCCCCGCCCTGGGCTCGCTTACTCGTTCGTTGGGCTGGCGAGTTACCTGAGGAATTGGGGCGCGGCCAAGGGTTTGCTTGCAGGTACATCGTACGCTGCTCCTTCTGCTCCCTCCCCCCTCTGAAACCATAGAAAGTTAAATCTTTCTTTCTCTCCCCCTCCCCAAACCTCACCCCACGTCTTCTATGCATTTGAGGGCTGTGGGATTCTGCACCATCTCTAATTTTCTCATTAGAGTCCTTTCTCTTGCGTGTAAAATGAGAGCCTTTACTACCAATGTTTGAAAGGCTGATTTAATAGTCATAAATCGGTTTTTTAAAATCTTGGTGGTGTACTATATTGTGTTGTAAGTAAATTACTATTTCCTGATCTTATTCCACATTTGAACTTGCCTGCTGTGACATATATATTTGACCAGGCTTAAAGCTTCACTAACTCTTTAAGTCCCCTGTAGTCAATTTATATGGATTGCCGGCTTCTGCCAGACCTTCTCTTCTTTTAACAGCAGCAATTTGTGGAGGAAGTATTTGGATTTATTTTTGGTAATCAAAGATAGATAGAGGAAATTTCAGGCTGGATTTCTGCATACCATTATAAACTTGCTAATTTTATTCCTATTTTTTTTTTAATAATCTCAGTTTACTGTCTCAGGAAATTGACACTTGTAAAAAAACAAAGCAGCACTTGAAAACATAAATTACTATTAAAATCTCAGCTCTATTTCACCTTTCAATGTTACAAAATGCCCACATTTAATAGAAATATATCTTATTTCCCTATATAAAGATTTAGAAAATATGCTAAATATCCCAAAAACAATGCCAGCACCTTCCTCCATGAAAGAAAGGGGGAAAATCCCAAATCTATAGTTGAGTAAGAGCTCATTAGAAGTCAAATACTATACCATAAAGATGATGACTTCAAAAATACTGAAGTAAGGATCTCATCAACTACCATAGATTAAGGATGACTTCATAGTGCCTTTCTGACTTCTGTATTTACAGTATTTATGATTAAGGAAGCTGGAAAGGCATCATGAAGTCACTATTACTTGAGATTAAAAGAGTTTCTAAACATTTAACTCAGTTGGTGAATTCAAGATTTCTGATCCATGGGTTGTTGTTTTTTTTTGCTTCACCTTCAAAATTCCTATTTTTTATCTATGCATCCTGTAGTCCATCATAAAAAGGTGCAATTTTCCAGAGTAATTTATATTGAGGTGAATAAAGAAATTTGCATTCTGATTCCATCATTAGAGTAGAGTAGAGTAGAATAGAATAGAATAGAATAGAATAGAATAGAATTCTTTATTGGCCAAATGTGATTGGACACACAAGGAATTTGTCTTTGGTGCATATACTCTCAGTGTACATAAAGAAAAATAAAATAGAATATATTCATCAAGAATCATAAGATACAACACTTAGTGGTAGTCATAGGTTACTAATAAGCAATCAAATTATACTAAGAAACAAAATAATATAAATTTTAAAGGTACAAGCAACCTGGTTATAGTCCTAAGTGGGAAGAGATAGGTACTAGGAAGGAAGAAAAGAACAATAGTAATACAGTCTTAGTAGGTAAGACTTAGCATACAATGTTATATTAAAGAACAGGTGTTATGGGGCCTGAAGATTACATGCAATACTAGGAAGATTTCTTCCCTTTGCTGTGCACCTTGACTACAAAAGGTCCCCAAACCCTTTATATTATATTCCTGAGTTGAAGAAAGAGAAATCAGAAATCTAAGCCAGTGTTTCTTAACCTTTAAGAAACTTTAAGATGTGTGGACTTCCAACTTCCAGAATTCTCCAGCGAGCCAAACTACATGTGTGTATATACCAGTATGTTTGTGTCTGAGTCAGTGTTGACTTTCAGGGACTATCTGGACAAGTCTCTGCAAATTTTCTTGGCAATGATTTGGAAGTAGTTTGTTACTGCCTATATATCCTATCGCTGAGAGTAGTGACTGGCCCAAAGTCACTTTATGGGATTAGAACACCTGGTTTCCAGCCTGGTAATTTAATTACTAAGGCAAACTGGCTAACAAACATTATTCTAAATTTATAACAATCCTCTTATTAATACTGCAGCCTGATATCAGTCTTGGATTAGGTATTAAACATTTCCTTCCCATTGGATTCAGTTGAAAAAGGGGGGAAATTCCACTCTTGCATTGAAAATAGCTACACCAATCTATGTATATGAACATATCTACATACTGTATATATGTATCAGTTTACTCCAGTGGGCTTTGAGAGTATTTGCAATACAATCTCAAGACAACATGTGTGGTACACTCCCTCACACTCAATACAGGTAGTCCTCAACTTACAGCAGTTTGTTTAGTGACAGTTCAAAGTTACAACGGCACTGAAAAAAGTGACTTATGACCATCTTTCACACTTATAACTTTTATAGTATCCTCATGATCACGTGATCAAAATTCAGATGCTTGGCAACTGGCTCATACTTATGACCATTGCTGTGTCCCAAGATCATCTGATCACCTTTTGCAACCTTCTGACAAGCAAAGTTAATGGGGAAGCCAGATTCACTTAACAACAAGGTTATTAATTTATCAACTGCAGTGATTCAGTTAACTGTGGCAAGAAAAGTCATAAAATGGGGGCAAAGCTCACTTAACAAATATTTCACTTAACAGAAATTTTGGGCTCAGTTGTGGTCATAAGTCTGTATCTTCCCAAGATTTGAAACACAGCTCTTTTGCTTGTCCCATTATTATCATGGCTTTATATTGTACATTTACTCTGCAGCTTATTGCATGTTAGTATAGGAAGCTAATATATTTTACTGCCTCAAGCAAATAACATATACAGTACTGTTTGATATTTGCCACCTAAATAGCCCAAATCAAAAACTGCTTAGCTTCAACTAATAGTTGTATCTTTTTGCCTTGAAGGTACTACATATAGTCTTTAACTTACTACCATAATTGTCAGGTTCAATTACAGTCGTAACTTGAGGACTATTTGTAGGCATCCCCATATATTCCAAATGTGTTTTGTATGAGAACATAGATAAAATCCTAAAATCTTTATATTGGATTCTATTATCTCAAATAAATATATTGTATTTTTGGGAGTATAAGAGACATATTTGTCTCCCAAAAAAGAGGGTGAAAATATGGGTGCGTCTTATACACTAAATACAGCATTTTTGGCCTCCCGAAACTCCACCCCCTTCACAAAAATGGAGGGTTTGGGAGGTCTGCAGAGTGCAAAAACTTTTTTTTTAATTTACCTCTTCAAAATCTTGGTGTGTCTTATACTCCGGTATGTCTTATACTCTGAAAAATATGGTAATTATTTTAAAAAACTCCTGAGAAATTATTCACAACTTACTTCCAATAGTAAGCAATTATAAATATTTAAATATATTATTATATTGTGTTTTAAAAACATCAATAATTTACTGGTTCCTAGGTTGTCATACCAGTCCTTAAAACGTTTGACTGATTAACTTTGTAACTGTGGTTGTTACTAAATCATAATTAAAGCATGGCTCTGTATGATGTTTGAACCAGCCTCCGTTTTCTACGTGGTTGCAGTTGAAAATCTTGGAGCTTAGTAAAAGCAAAAGAGTTATATCATGCTTGGGAGGCTGCCTATTTCTAGCGTACAATAACTACCTGTACTTCACTGATGGATTGAGTGGAGGGAGTCTTCTACCTCTCTGTCACCAAACCCTTGCATTTGTACCAGAACAAGTCAAGCCCTCTGCTTCAAGGCTGGGGTGACTGGGTTGCAATGAGCTGGAAATCTTTCCCCATTCCTAGCAAATGTAGTTAGACTCCTTCATCTGAGATATATCTTGTCCTGAGGAGAAGGGCAGAAGGTGGTGGCTAAGAGAAAGCTCTTTCAGAAGCAGAAAGACTGATTGTATAGTTCCAAGATCAGACTTTGCCTGCTTTAGAGTTAAATCAGTGCCTTCCTATTCTCAAGCACAGGAGACTCGAGAGTGCCAAAGGTGCTTTATTTTTTCAATAGGCAACTGGACTTTCTGGTTTTTCTTTGAAGACATTTTGCTTCTCATCCCAGAAGTTTCTTCAGAATGGTTGGAGCGAAAGGTCTTCAAAGAAAAACCAGAAAGTTCAGTTGCCTCTTGAAAAAAACATCTTTGGGACAACCATGACCTGGATGACTGAGACTCTCCATATTTATTTATAGAAGACTCAGAAATACTTGGAGCCTAATTAAGTAGGCAGAATGCCCATGTGCTGCTAGGCAACACCCAGCGTGGTTGCTCAAAGATGGGACAGGAATCCTGATAGCATTTGGCATCCCTTTTTCACCTTGCCTTTAGGATAGATAAGCAGCCTTGAATGCAATAGCAGTGGCAAAGAGACTAGAGAAAGTAGCTTCTTCATCAATAATTTTCTTCTGGTAGTAATTAAATAGCAGGGATTCCCTCTGGAGGGAAAATAACTGTTTAGGGTAGCTATAGCAGAAAAGTGTGAGTTGCAGGGAGAGAGATTTGTAATTTTGCCTCTGACCAGCAGGAAGATTCTACTGAGAGAAAGAGCTGAGTGGAGAAAGATGGCTGGAGCACATGTACACCATGGAAGAGGGTGGCTGTTGGTTTCCAATGTTCTTTTGATAATTGCAGCAGTGACAATGGGGAGAAATCCGGACACTGAGGTTGAGTTGCAGGCCTCTTGATTCTAGGCCTCAATTGTGCCAAAGGAACAAGTAGTGGCTTCCACAAGTAACAAAGAAACCATGCAGAATACCTTCATTTTATGAGGTTCCTTATGCTGAGAGGCATCATGTTGCAAACATATACTAATGACTAATCAATAAAGCTTCTGCAGTTTGGGCAAAATATATTACTTGCTATATTTAAGAGACATGATACACAAATGCAGATTTCTTTTGTTTGCATATGGCAAATTAATTACATGAACATTGCTGACTTTTGATTCTAGATAAGGCATGCAATTTAGCCAAATTAACAATGGCAGTATGAAACATTAAATCACAGAATCATTGAGTTGGAAGGAACTTCATAGGCCATTTACAATACAATACAATAGCAGAGTTGGAAGGGACCTTGGAGGTCTTCTAGT